GGATGCCTATGTAGAAGCAGATGTTTGATATTGCTGCCAAACTGCTGGGCTTGGAGTGCAATGCCTGTGCTTTTGTGAGTGTTCATGGTGCATATACAGGGGTTATATAGGGGTGATAAAGGGGCTATGTTGGGATAATGGAAGAATGGAAACTACTATTTAAGGCTTATAGGGTTTAGGGTGATCCAATCTTTGGTGGCCAAATTTGCAATGTGATTCGCGAACTGGGAGTTCCCAAAAACTATGGCGCTCGCCTTGGACTTTTCTTAGATGTGGGATGATCATACGTGGGATGTACTTGTTGAGGCCAAGAGCTTTCGAAAGCGTTCTGTGGAAGATGTCCACCCAAAGCAACTTATTCGAATCCAGTCTACACTCTACCCACCCGATTTCGTACTAGAAACATCCTAAACCCCAAACCCTACGTAAACCCTAAACCCATAAAACGTAACAAGCCCCAGGCATAACACTTGTACCCAGAACAGTCTTTTCGCAACGCACACAACTCTGGCCTCCGCTTCCCACCTCTCCCACCCCACTTGCTTCCCACAATTCACCGACACGAGCATGAAAGATATCAAGAGATTTGTTTTCAATGTTCGTGTTCATTTGATTCTGCGTTATTCCCCAATCCCTAAACCCAAAGGCTTTTAAGGCCTCCTCCACAACATTAGTTTTAGCCCATAAGCCCCTTCTAACACTCTGTAAATCTCAGGCGCAGTACCCGAATGCCAAACTGAGGGGTTCCCCTACGACCCCCTCTATACTACCCTCCCTAGGTTCCCCCTTGGTTGGGTTTAGGGTTTAGGGTTTAGGGTTTAGGGTTAACCTTTATCAGGCCTAATTTCCCTATGTAGCCCAACTTAAGGATGGAACCTTGGGGTAGTATAGCCATGACAAACCTTAAACCAAACCCTGAACCCAAACCCCTAAACACCTCAAACCCAGCATGTCCCAAGGCCCTGGCGTAAATTGAGCAGCCAGCTCTGTCTAAGTAGAGGCTGGTGCTTGAGAGCAAAAGCAGCAGGTCAACACTTGTAGTCAAGGTAGGCATATTGCAGGTATCTGTAAAAGTAACTGTCAGAGACTAAGACCTAGGTACTTAAAGGAAAGAATCCATGCTCTGCATCGTGGAATGACACATGCTGCCAGCGAGGTGATTGCCGCGGTTCAAATGCCAGGAACTTAGGAACATATGGTTGACATTAACAATCCTGCGTGACCTTATTATACTATAGTAACATAATTCCCCAGGTTTAGGGTACTTAGGGCTTATTCAGGATTTTTAGTATCCAGTAGTGCCCAGGACCTGCAACTTCAAGCTGCTTCAAAGCATCTGTGTTGAAGTTCCGGGTTCATGGATCCCATGGCCGTGTGCCTATGCTGCGGGTCCTGACCCGTGGCCAGATGACGCAGCCACGCCGAAAGACCGCCCGGGCAGTATCTTATAATAAGCCTCAGGATCACAAACTAAGAGCTGGGTCCCGAATCATGGCGGCAACTGTGCCTTCTCAGCATTCCCCGTCTAAATCCTTGCCCCACACCGACAACTGCCCCGGGCTTAGTGTTCAGGGTCTGGGTTGTATATCGGGGCTATACAGAGACAATATTAGACTACATAGAGATTATGTCTTTAGGGTAAAGTTACACTATGGGTATGTAGTAGATGCCCTGGTATCCTTTAAAGAAAGGGGAACTTAATCTAAATTCCTGCGCAAAGCATGAGCATTCTCAGCCTCCCAAAGCAGATGGTGCCATGCGTAGTTAAGGTCTGGGGCTGAAATGGGTGTATTGTTTGGCATAATGTCTTGCCTAACTCCCGGGTCCCCAGAAGTACTCAGGGTTGATTGTTTAGAGTTCGGCATCACGCTGAAAGAAATATAAGTCCAATTTGCTTTTGACCGCTGCACGCGGCGCACAAGCTGTTGTATGCCCCTTTTTTCGTAGGGCACGAGCGGGGTATTGGGCTCGCTATTGCTGGATGAATGTGGCGTTGGGATCAGTATTGTAGGAATAAATGTGTTGTTGGGAGCCACTGTTGTCGGACTTAAGCTCTAGGGTCATTAAGGCTGTTACGACGGTTCAGGGAATTAAGGAATGGATCTTGAGGGGTTCTCATAGGGGCCACAAACCGATTTTACTACATGGATAGAAAGTCTTCTTTGCCTTAGCAAGAAGGGTTGCAGTAGCTAACCCCAACCCCAAAATTAGCATCCTATAACTATCATGTGGCCAAAAGAAGACCCCCAATGAAAGCAAAGGCGGCGGTCACTGGCTCAGTACCAGAAATTCACCTGCCATCTCGACAGGGCTAGGGCTGAGGGCCTTGGGATTTTCAAAAAGGACCCATTGGGGTAATATTGAGGTTTATAGTCCCCCTTAAGTAGATAGAATATTAGGGTTATGTTGGGTATATATTGGGATAATGGAAAATAAAAAGGAAACTACTATCTTCTAATAGGGTATACATTAGGGTTATATTGGGTATCTATTGGGATAATGGAAAATAAAATGGAAACTACTAGTTGGGGTTTAAGGTTTAGGGGTGGGGATGCCTGAACTTTCCTAGCAGGCCCCAAAAAGATCAGTGCCATGGAGCAGAGGGACTGCTTTGTCCAAGCAATTCGGAAAACGACTGAAGTACAAGAAAGCTCCGCCAGAGCACATAGTTTCGGATTTAGGGTATCCTATGCTAGCCTCCCCACCCCCCACACGGTTTGGAAACAAGGCTCACAATGATCAAGGCCCTTGTCAGCTTTCCACGGTAGAAGCTTAGACCAGACTCCTTAGGCACCTCCAAGTAGGACAGACCCTAAGAAGCACCCTTAGAATTGAATTATAAGGGGACTGAGGGGTTTCTTATATGACATGTCCCATTCTTGGGAATCTGCCTGAAAGCTTTGCATTCACTTTGCAAGTCGCTGGCCAAGTTTTCTCTTGAGCGCCAACATAAACACAAAGCCACCATACCTCACCCTATCACTCCTCCCAGAAGCCAACATGGAACCCCAAACAGGGCCCCACCAATTCTACCGTCCTTTGAGATGAGCTTGATTACATAGGATTCCATAAAAACCATTGCGGGAGGGTACAGGCTCAGAAGAAGCACAGCAATAAAGCAAAGCATGCAGAAGGGAAGTGGGCAGGTATATTACCACACACTTGTGTTGTTTATAACCGTAAGTATAAGGGACTGCAGGATATTACCTGGCTATAACTTGGAATTTCCCCATGCATAGGAAGAGAATGCTTTTGTGCATCTGAGCTATAGTCTAAACTGCTAGTATCCCCTCAATAACCCCTATAGTAGTTCCCTATATAATCCCCTATATAACCTTGTTTTAGGGAGTTTAGACTTTGGTGCATCTGAATAAAACAGGCCGAGAACTCAGAGATGGAAGGCGTCAAAGCCCTCACTTGATGCCACCAGCCGCTTGGCATGTACCTGGGGTTTAGGGTGTAGGGTTGTGGGGATGGTGGAAAAGAAAATGGAAACTAGTATAATGGGTATATAGGGTACAGAATATGGGGTAAATGGGGCTTGGCATGTACCTGGGCTTGGCATAATTTTTGGGAGTCCATATAGTAAGGACTATATAAGTATATTGGGGTCTATATTGGGGTCACCCTATTTCAGGAATTGAGGTAGAGGATGTAGAGGATCAAAATGACTTCCCCGATTGCCCTTCTTCACGTAATCCTGTTCTAGAGTAAGTGCATACCCTGAGTTGGCCTTGCAGCTTTGCTTTGCTTGTGCTCCTCTGGCTGACCCATCTCACGGGGTGTTACTGCTACTACTTTGCCGGTGTGCCTTGGGGTTGGCAGGGCATCATAGTAAGAATAGTAGCAATAATCATACTACTCGTAATAATCGTATAATCGTAGTAATAGTCATAGTAATAGTAATTAGGAATACTAACGGTAATAGTGTTGGTGATTGAAATAGTACTAAGCAAATATTTAGTAATAGTAGTAATGATAAGAATAATTGTCAAGCGCATGATAATTGTCAGACGCATGCAGAATTGTTTGGAACCAGGCAGCAAGACGTCACCAGGAGCAAGGTCCACCACCCGGATTTCCTTGGCTACAAAAGTCACTACCTCCACGTTAACACCAAGCAGCTTTCCGTCTCCTTTCGAGGGTTTCCTAGCCATACCCCCAAAATGTCCCCTAACCACAATTGAACCCCAAACCCGGCCCTCAAAGTAGAAGGGACTACAAGATATTACCTGATTCTTACTTGGATTTTACCTCCATCTAATCCCAGCTTCCCTTTCATTTTTCATTTCTTTCCACGTGCTCCCCCGATATCATAATAACCCTAAACCCAATTTTTTCCCTATACAATCATTTTTTCGGGACCATAATACAGGTAATATCCATTTGATTCTGCATTTCTCCTTACTTGGACCTTAAACCCTAGACCCCAAGCCCTGAACGCTAAACCCTACACCCTAAACCCTAAATCAGATGGTGAGACAAGCCACCGCCTCAGCAAAGTCTGGGTACTGTTTCAAGTCGGGCTCCTGGTTCAGGGTCAGGGCTTGGGACTTAGGATTTAGGGTTAGGGCCTATGATTTAAGGCTTAGGACTTCGGGTTTAGGGATGGGCGTTTCGGGTTTAGGGATTAGGGCTTAGGGTTTAGGGGTCGGGAGGGCTATGTAGGGAGGCTGAAGGATGCTTTAAGGAGGCCTTAGACATAAAAGGATCTTTACGGGTTATGTAGGGATGTGTGCAGTTTAGGGCTTCGGGTTTTCAGGGCTTACTTAAAGATTGATGGGTAAGGTTCCCAATGTATCTATAGGTCCAAGTTCTATCCGTCCTATCTGTTGTCTATATGGGCTCAGTCTTCAAAGAATTCGAACCATGCCTGAGACAAACCAGGCACCTTCTGTCAGGGCCTCTTCAAATAGGCATTTAACTTTTAGGTACCCTCCACCATAGTTATACCGTCATACAACGAAAACAGGATGTCAATATTGGTTCTTCATATAGGGTCAAGCCCGCTCCTCCACATTTACTGGCGAGATGTTGCCTTGGGACGCGGTGCCTGCGTCCACCTTCACGTGCAGCTTTGTGCGCTGGTTTGGAGACAGCAGCACCTTAGCTTCCAAGACTTTACTTTCGCACACCTGGGCTTCCTTTCCTAAATGCGCTTATCAAGGGCTCTTTTCCACGGCTTAGCAATCCAAACCCAAGGGTACAAACCTGGAGGGTACAAAGAAAAGCAAGTAGACCCTGAAACTGTCACACCCATGCCTCATCGGCCTTTAGGCGCAAACATGCACAAACATGTTTTAAGTCTAAACGAACATCATCACCGTAACAACCCCTGCTGAAACCGCCAGCTGACGACGCGCTTGAATCCATGCACTTGCGCCAGAAAGTTGTCCTAAAATCCAGGAAGCCAGCTGAAAGAGGTCACAGAGGGTTTAGGGGTTTGGGGTTTAAGGTTTAGGGGTTTAGGGTTTAGGATTTAGGTTTTAGCATGTGAAGGTTCCAAGGTTCATGGAACTTTGGGTTTGGGAGCTTTGGCAGGTGTCTTTAGCAGGGCGGTGGCCTGACTTGAGGCCTTATGGGGATGAAAACGTCGTTTGTTGAATTCATTTATTCAGCTACATGATTCTCACTAGGTTAGATTTCTTATGGATAGTACTACTCTCATACGAAGCAAATGCTTCAACATTGTGATAGGTATTCATGTTTAGAATTTAAGCACTAGACGTCAAAAATCCTAAAAGAGAATCTATATAACTTATTATTGAAAAATTTCAAGCTTCAATAAGGAAATTCTGGTTTTCTGCAATTTTCTAGATAATGAAAAGGACTCAAAACGAAAAGAAAATGGAAACTAGGGGTCTGTACGCATATGTAGTGTTTGGGGAACAGAGGAAAATCGAATGGAACGTGACATTGGAACTGCGGTTTTGTAGGGTTTGTACAGGGTCTAGAATTTGTTGCATCGAGGGATTGGGGAATAGGATTTTGGCTCAACATGCAATAAGGTACCCACGCCCAGAAATGTATCTATTCTGTTTTGTTCACTATCGTTGCTCCTCGACATTCAACCCTCTATATCTTGACCCCAAGGCATACTTCTGGTAACCCTAAGCCCAAAACCTTGAATCCAGGACCCAAAGCTTCAACCCTAAACCCTAATCCCTAAACCCTCCACCTAACGAGGCCATCTCTCAACTCGGGATACGTAGCCCTAACCCACTGACCCCCAAGGAAGACCTGAAGGAAGGCGGTTTGTGGATCAGTTCGGCCTGGAAGACCACCTCGTAATCTGGGTTGCTGTTAAGGAACTTAAATTAAGTTACCATAATGGGTCTATAGAGGTATACAGGGTTTAGGGTTACCATACATCCATAGTAATTCCTATGCTTTCCCAATATAAGGACTTAAAAATCAAGTTCCTTACATGAGCCCAGTAGTCACACTAACCCCAAACCCTAAACCCTAAATCCTAAACCCTCTTGCGGCTTCAGGCTAGACACGTAGGAGTCCCAGTGGCAAGGCGTCAGGGTCCTGAGGAACATCAATCAAGTTACCATAATGGGTTTAGGGGTTTAAGGTTTAGGGTTACCATATATATATATACATATATACATATGTATATATATATATACCTCTATATATATACATATATAAGTATATACATAGTAAATGATATGCGTTCCACAATATAACGACTGGTGGATGATGCTCCACGGGCCTTTGGCTAGCTAGGATTGGTTGCCCACAGTACATATCCTTCCTACTTCGGGTTTGGGGTTTAGGGCTAAGGTCTCAAATTTACTTACCTTTGGTTAGCTCGGAATGAAAAACCTGGATCCTTATAGTAGTCCCTAAATAATCTGTCATAATAGCTTCCCTTGTCTTTTCCATTCCTTCATTCCCAGCTAACCAAAGGCCAGTCCATGAATTCAGCACGACAACTCAACCTAATCCGGCAAAATGTCAGATTTGGTGTCCCAATGGGAGTACCCCAATATAACCCCTATTTAATCACAGTTTCCATTTCATTTTGCATTTTTTCCATGTGATTCTCCATCATTGGGGGGAACCCTATACAACTTACTCACGGGGAAAACATTCGGAGCATCTGTGCTTGAAACTCTCAAACCTTATCCCGGACAATGCTTCTTTGCAGCCACAAGTTCCTTTCGTCCTTTCTTGCTGGTGCTTTTAAAGGGGAGTAGGCGAGTGGATCCACAGAACAAGCCTAAATACTCCCCTATAGTAGTACCTATATGCTGGTTTCCCAAAATGATGGTACCCCGATATAGACCCCAATATACTATAGTCCCTATTCTAGGGATCCACAAAAAGGTGCCCCCAATTTGGGGAAACCCCCATATTCCTTCCCCTTCAAGCACCAAAAAGTCTCATGTGAGCAATAGTCTAAACTCCTATCCCCCTTAATCACCACGATAGTAGTCCCCTATATAATCCCCAATATACCCCCCTTTAAGGAGTTNNTTTAGACTATAGCTCATGTGAATTCAGGATTGGGTCCTGCTGGTTCCCACCCATGCATTGCATCGAGAGGGCGCTCCGAGGACCTGCTAACAGCTGAGCTTCGAAGTGGATCATGTGAGCTATAGTCTAAACTCCTAGTATCCCCCTTAATAACCCCTAGAGTAGTCCCCTATATAATCCCCTATATAACCCCCATTAAGGAGTTTAGACTATAGCTCCTGTAGGATACATAGGGT